GGATTAGCAGAGTGGTGGGGACACAGGGGGTGGAAGCCAATGGAGGATTGGGTAGCAGAGTGGAGGACACTGAACAGGCCAGTGGAGGGACTCGGCTGACAGAGAGGGATGGCGGAACATGGAAGGACTCGGCTGGGTAGCAGAGTGGAGGCGTCTGGGAAGCATTTCTCGGCTGGGTAGACAGAGTGGAGGGGATACCTGGATGAGGACTCGGCCAATGAGGAGGGGTTACAGAGTGGAGTGCGATAACAAGGAAGGATACTGGGTTAATAGTGGTTTCGCTAACACAGGTAGGAACGGGCGTATCTTAGCAGATGTTGGGGAGCTGAACTACAGGAAGATTTGGGAGCAGAGTGGAGGCGCTAACACAGGAAGGACTCGGCTGGGTAGCAGAGTGGGAGGCCTAACCCAGGAAGGACTCGGGGGGTAGCAGAGTGGAGGCGCTACACACAGGAAGGACTCGGCTGGGTAGCAGAGTGGAGGGGCGCTAACACAGGAAGGACTCGGCTGTTTTGGTAGCAGAGTGGAGAGGCGCTAACATGGAAGGACTCGGCTGGGTAGCAGAGTGGAGGCGCTAACACAGGAAGGTGAGGCTGGGTAGCAGAGTGGGGCGCTAACACAGGAAGGACTCGGCTGGGTAGCAGAGTGGAGGCGCTGTCACACAGGAAGGACTCGGCTGGGTAGCAGAGTGGAGGCGCTAACACAGGAAGGACTGGCGTGGGTAGCAGAGTGGAGGCGCTAACACAGGAAGGACTATGGGTAGCAGTGGAGGCGCCCAACTCCCAGGCAGGACCCTTCTGGCTGCAGCAGAGTGGAGGCGCTAAACACAGGAAGGATCGGCTCAGTAGCAGAGTGGAGGAGCTAACACAGGAATGGACTCGGCTGGGTAGCAAGTGGAGGCGCCACACACAAAGGAAGGACTCTTCTTCCCATTAGCAGAGTGTGAGGCGCTAACACAGGATTATTAGACCCCTGGGTAGCAGAGTGGGAGGCGCCAACACAGGAAGGACTCGGCTATACTCACAATAGAGTCAGGCTAGACTCTTTAACACAGGAAGGACATACGGCCATACACAGAGTGGATTATATCAGACCATAGCCCCACCTCTTGGCTGGGTAGCAGAGTGGAGGCCCTCGAACCACAGGCCCCCCAAAATTTGGGATTTCCTTGGGTATCTGACATGTAAGGTGGAGGCTTCTACACACAGGAAGGATGCTTGGCTAGGGTACACCACCACTAATGAATCCCATCAATGTGACCCACACTTGTTCAAGCCTTTTATTGGGTAGCAGAGTGGAGCCTAACACAGGAAGGACTTTGGCTGGGTAGCATAGTGGATTGACTAAAAGCAGAAGGACTTGGCACAGAAAGCAGAGTGGAGGCGCCAAACACAGGAAGGACTTTGGGTGAGAATTACAAACATATAATTGTTCCTCTGCTGATTCACAATTGTGTAAATATGGTGATAAGGTGGGTAAGCAAAGGGTCTTTCCAACCAACTCATGTAGCCTCCCTAAAGGATACTTCTGCTGCCCTTGTCTCCTCCTCAGAAGAAACCAATAAAATACTGGAAGATATTTGTGCCACTCTATATCTAGATCCAAGACCTTGAGGTGACCACAAAATTCCTAGACTCACTTCATTTACTCACTATTGGCCCCTCCCACCTGCAATCTGTAAATGCCCCTATTTTATTAAAGGAAGAGTCTGAGGTGATTAAAGGCTTACCTAGTGGGAAATCACCTGGTCCTGATGGCTACACACCAGCATTTATAGATGATGGACTCTCTCTTCATCCCTCAGCTACTGACAGTATATAACGAGGTTTGGGAGGGGGGCCCATACCTTCCAATGGGTCACCAAGACTATATAAAATTGATTTCTAATAAGGGCAAGGACCCAACTGAACCGGAGGCATACCGAACTATATCCCTCCTAAATGTGGACACTAAAATACTCTCTAAATCCCTCTTGCTGCAATATTACCCTTAAAATACTCTCTGAATTAAGTAGCACCTCCTGGCCCTTTACGAGTTTCAGAAGTCGGGAGGCAGGGCGGGGTTTAGGGGTTATTGAGCGCCATGACGAGTCTCATGGTGGTCACATATTCCCGATTGAAAGAGGAGACTGGGACCCTACTGGACATGTGTGCTGGGAGCACGCAGGGCACATGCTCTCGGCACATTTGTCCTTTTTTAATAGAACAAATGTGTGGCTGCTCGGCATCTAGGCCTGCCAGGCTGCACATTTGCATTCGGCCGGCGTGAAGAATTAATGGTAGACCAGTGGCTTCCAACATTCAGAAAGTTATTGCAGTGCTGGAACAAGGCAAGGTACACCCGTCTGAGGATCGAGCTATTATTACATTGGATGCTGGAAAAGTCTTGGATAATGTCAGCTATCATTGGCTTGCTCTGGTTCTTCTGATGGCTTTTCAGCAGTATGGATTCTGCACCTTCACCCAGGGTGGTAGCTGCAGGTCTCATATCAGGTGAAATATTGCTGCACGAAGGGTACTCACCAGGGTTGCCCCCCCTTCACCTCTTCTTTTCAACCTTGCCCTGGAACCTTTCTCCCGTTACCTTTCCTCCAGAGCCCCAATACATGGGATTCAGACAGGTCAAGAAGAACTCTGTGTAGTCCTATTTGCCGATGATATTCTTATATTTTATGGCGGATCCTGTGGCAGATATTCACATTCTCCATCAGGTCTTCACAAGCTGCCTACAGTGCTCTGGCCTTCCAATCAATTCTGCTAAGAGTGGAATACTTTCCTTATCTCAAACCAACACCCTTCCCTGGGCCCAGCAGTCTCTCTTCACGTAGCAAATGTTCAGATCACATATTCAGGCATTACGATAGGGAAGGAGCCATCCTCGGTCTATCATTACTACCCTCCACTGATATCTAAAATAGGAAATGAGATGGAAACATGGATGTACCTTCTCCTATCGCTTTTTGGGGGATGCCACCTGTTCAAAATGGTGAGCTTTGCTCGCCTATTGTACCCTCTTCAAACAATTTGGTTACTGCTTAAACAGGGGGAGTAAAAAAAATGCGGCCTCACGGACCTGGGCTTGGAGCAAACTTTCCCAATATTCGATTGTATACCTTGCCTGTTTATTGTGTATAGGGACAGATTGGATACTTCAGGCTTCCTCATACACCAATTATGATTTGGAGTTGGCAGTGGGGCAACCATATGACTTAGCTGCACTCCTGCGGCCAATTGTTCCCCACAAGTATTCAACACAACCTTCTGATACGGGATCTGATTCTTACATGTGAGGGACATACAGAGCAAACTGGGCCTGTCACCCCATGTCTCCCAATATTTGCCATAAGAGGCAATACAATGTTTCCGAAGCTGTTCAATATGCGGCTTTCAACATTTGGAGTTCTAAGGGGCTCTCCTGCGTTGCCTCCATGTATGACGCATAAAAAACTATCAGGATCAACTTTGAAATCTTTCCCAACCCTTGCATCAACTTATGCCCTGCCAAGCCATCCCTCTCTCTACTACCTACACCTCTCAGGTTGTATAAACTGGTGCTGCCCAGCCAAGCAACAATGTTTTCAAACTTCCATATCGGATCGCTTCCTACAGGAATGGAAATACTCCATATCTGACATCTATCAACCTTTACACTCTCTCTCTTTACTAAACTCTACATCCCACATCTGTGAAATCTTGGAGCAAGGTCATACCGGGAGAGAACCTGGGAGAATTTATTTTGGGTTGCTCTTTGGTGATAGAACAAAGTGCAAAGGCTTGTGGTGAATGAATCCTGGAGAGTCTCAATGTAAGCTCTTCCATGGGGCCTTTCCCATTTCTATCCATAAAGAACTCTCCACAAATCCACTATATAGTGAGCACCCCCTCTCTCTTCCACCGATTTCAGGAATGGCCCCCCGCATCTCAACCTTTTGGGAACAAGTGTTAGCCTACATCTCAGGAGTTTGTGGCTGCTCACTCCCCATGGACCGGTTTCTTCTACAACTCTCCATTCAGCTCGAGAAAACCCACATCCACAAATCCCGCAGGAGCTTGCAGGATATTAGATATGTTTACTGGTGGCCCACAGGGCTATTCCTAAGAAATGGACTAGCCTTGTCCCCCACCATCACAGACACTAAAAAAGATCTACGTCTTCTGATTTACAGAGAGAAGGTAGACATGGAGCTCAACAACCAAGTCCTCAGTCAAACATTTCCATAATAGATGGGACACTTTTATTGCAGACCAATCACAGCTCTCACAGTATTTCTCAGCAACAGCTTACAGGGAGCAATCCTCTATGTTGTCTTCTTTTACTTCTATGGATGGGTTGTCAAGGTGGTTACATTGTAGAGATCAGACAGCCGTGTATGGAACACGCATTGAGGACACGCATACATAACAGGTGTTACTTGCTCCCCATCTGGCCGTGTATATCTTGGTTTTCTGGTTCATGACGTTGTCATTCTTTTGCTCTCCTGATGTGTCTGTGCGCACTCATGGCCGAACCTTACTTCCTTGGCTTTATCATGACATCTAGGAACATTATGACATTCTGCTCCTCTCACTTATTGGAGTTGGGAACAAAGTCTCAGGGAGAGTCCATCCATGTTTTCTGATCAGGTATCACACCCGGTCACACCTCCAGGTCAGTTCCTGCCAGAAGATTCCTTCCTCTTTCTTTATTGGAGAGATTATAATTATTTCATTGGTTACTGTGATTTATCTTTTATTCAGAAGTCATGGCAAGAAGTATGAGGTGCTCGTCTCCTCTTTCACCCCGGGAGTGTGCTTCAGAGTCGTCCTCAGATCTCTTTGACCTCATATTGCTTCTTTAGAATGTCTTTAGAAAACTCAATATATGTATGTACTCAGCCAATGAAAGGTCAGGACTCCATTTTTATTCTTCTCCTGCTATCAATGGCCAACCCGGTCCCACACTTCATCCATGTCTTTGGGGACCTCTGATCTCCTTATGAACTGTTTCTTCCATGATGAAGATCAGCCATGGAGTATATCTGAGGTGTATATCAGGGTGTGTGCTTCTTCCCCACATGAGAGCTGGGATGTCCAGCAACATTCATCTCTCTGATGTGTGAAGAGTGGACTTCTCTGAAAAACATTTCCTGCACTCAGGACAGGAATACGGCTTCTCCCCTGTGTGAGATCTCTAATGCTTGTAAAGGTTGGACTTCTCTGAAAAACATTTCCCGCACTCAGGACAGGAATATGGCTTCTCCCCCTGTGTAAGATCTCTGATGTGTGGAAAGACGGGACTTCACTAAAAAACATTTCCCACACTCAGAACAGGAATACAGCTTTTCCCCTTTGTGAGATCTCTGATGTGTGTAAAGATTGGACTTCTGTGAAAAACATTTCCCACACTCAGGGCAGGAATTTACGGCTTTTCCCCTGTGTGAGATCTCTGATGTGTTGTGAAGAGTGGACTTAACTGAAAAACATATCCCGCACTCAGGACAGGACACGGCTTTTCCCCCGTGTGAGTTCTCTGATGTCTGTAAAGTTTGGACTTCTCTGAAAAACATTTCCCGCACTCAGGACAGGAATACGGCTTCTTCTCACCCCCGTGTGAGATCTCTGATGTGTGTGTAAAGAGTGGACGTCTGTGAAAAACATTTCCCGCACTCAGGACAGGAATATAACTTCTCTCCCGTGTGAGATCTCTGATGTCTGTAGAGAGAGGGACTTCTGTGAAAAATATTTCCCACACTCAGGACAGGAATACGGCTTCTCCCCTGTGTGAAATCTCTGATGTGAGTCAAGATTGCACTTATGTGAAAAACATTTCCCACACTCAGGACAGGAATATGGCTTCGCATCCCTGTGTTGTGAGATCTCTGATGTCTGTAAAGATGGGACTTCTCTTTAAAACATTTCCCGCACTCAGGACAGGAAATACAACCATCTCCCCTGTGTGATGAGATCTCTGATGTACGATAAGATGGGATTTCTGTGAAAAAACATTTCCCGCACTCAGAACGGGAATACGGCTTCTCACCCCTGTGTGACATCTTTATGCCTATTAAGACTGGATTTATAGTGGAAACATTTCCCACACTCAGTACAGGAGAACCTCTTCCCTGTTGGAAGGCCGGCCCCGGTCCCGCACAGTCTGAGGTTCCTCAGGATACGAGGAATCCGATGGTCCATCTACACTGGGTGGTGCCGGATGGACATTGGTGGGAGCCGGGTTTTCTCCTGGGACTATACTGTGTGTGTCCTCATCTTCTACTTTCCAGTCTGGAGACAAAGTGAGACAATCCTCGGAGGTTTTCCTCATCTCCCCGCCATGGACTAAAATACAAAGACAAAGAGGATTACTTAGACAGGAGCTGATTGGTTCCCCCAAACCAGAACTCCACCCACATCAGGCAGCTTGGTCTCTGAGGAGCTCACAATTCCACCCTCAAGGGGAACTAGGAAATGTTCTCCTCTGATCTCCTACCAGGTCATTTCTTTATTCCATGGACCTTAGTCAGAGAGTGAGGAAACAACCACAACTGTCTTTTATAGGAGGGACAGTGATGAGGGGATTATAGACGAGGGTCCCCACCCCCTCTATACTCATCACCATCTTCCCAACACAAGAAGTACTGCACTTCCTTA